TTTTTTGGGCTACTGTGGAGTCTGTGTCGACTACTTTTGATTCTTCGTCCAAACAGAAGCCGCCTGCAGGAGGGCATGCCCGACCTAGCCCTACCCCCCCCCTGCGGCCCCTTGTGTCGGTGCCTGCCTGCCCCGCCGGCGGCGAAGCCGAAGCTCCCCTCCCGTGGGGCCAGCCGCCCCTGCCGCGGCAGCCGGGCGGAAGGACGGAGGGTCATGGGGGAGAGAGCCTGTTCTTCCCAACCCTCCTATGGTTGGGTACTCGTTTTGAATAGAGCATTGTGGTCGCCCCGTCCTCCTTCCCCTCCTCCCCCCTCCTCCTCCCCTCCTCTCCTGTCTCCTGTGTTCCCCTCTCCTCTTGTCTCGTGCCGTCGGTCTGCGATCTGCACAACTGTCGCCACTTTCGTGGGCTCCTGGGAGGCCCAGCGGAGGTGGGTCCCACGCGGATTACCACGCGGAGGTGGGTCCCACCGGGGAGAGAGCATGTTTTTTTGGTGTCGGGCAAGTTTGCTTGCATGTCGCTCGCTCCCCCCACCTCTCGCCCCTCTTCAATCGAGTATACTACCGTGCAGGTGCCTCTCGGCGTGCGTGATTTCCACACGTCAAGTCGTTTGTGGCTTGCTTCACGTTCAGGCCCCCCCGTACATGCAAGTAAACTTGCTAGAGTCTTGAAAAAGGCTCAAACGGGTCCTGAGGGACCCATAGATCCGACGCTCCAAAAAATTGGAGCGGCGGGTGTTTGGGGCCGTCTTCGGCCTCAAGAGGGCCTTCGCCGGGCCTCGGGACCGTCAGAAAACGACTCAGGAGGAAAGCTGGCCCCAGGGAGGTGGTTCAGATCTCCGGGGCCCGCGGATGGAAAACCAAGCACGCAGGCCGTTGCTGCTGCATCGCGCGCAGCGATCGGCAAGAGCCGAGCCTAAAAGGCCACTCCTGCCCAGAGCCACGCCGAGAGGAGAGGGTCAAGCAGTGGCAAAGCGTCTCGGCCGGTCCACAGTCCCGCCAAAGAATGTCCTGAGAGGCCGTTGTGGTTTGCGCGCGCTGTTCTCAGAGCCATGATGGCTGAGACTGCTGTGTTTTTTTGCGCAGCGGCTTTCAGAGGTATGTTACAAGAACAGCGCGTCCATTGTTGGAACACCTTCTGGTTATGAGAACACGTCGTGGTAGGCCTGGAGGACTATCGGCTCTCATAGATGCTATAAGAGCACGGCTTCCGTTATTGGGACAGTCTCTTTGTTCGGAGAACATGTCCTGGTAGGCCTGTAGAATTGCAAGGTTCGCTGCCAGTGTTGTGGCCTCCGCGCGGCGTCCCCCAAATCATCCCCCCTTGCGTCCTCGCGCCCATCCCCGTCGTCCCCCGTGTCATCCCTGCGCCCATCCCCCTCGTCTCGACTGGTACCTCACCATGCACCCCACGAGGCACAGACGGTCACAGGGACGCCGATGATGACGGCTGTGAAGATGATATGGGGCCGTTTGAGAGCGCTAGCAGACCTCTAGACAACACAGGGCAGCGAACCTCCCAACTGCAGAACTGCCGGGACCGCCGGTCCCTGCTCAGGGGAGAAGGAAGATGAGAAGGAAGAGGAGGAGGAGGAGGAGAAGGAAGAGGAGGCGGAGGAGGAGGAGGAGGATTGGGAGGATTGGGTTGACTGGGAGGACTGGGATGGGAGGACTTGGAGGAGGAGGAGGAGGAGGAGGAGGAGGAGGAGGAGGAGCAGCAGCCCAGGCGGCGGGGCTCTGGGCTTGTGCCCGCCGCGCGGCGAGCTGTGGGAGCCGCGGGTGCCCGGCGCAGGACGCCCCGCCGCCGCCTATGGGGGCGGGGCCTCGAGGCCTCGAGCACGCGAGGCCTCGTGGCCTCGAGGATGCGAGGGCGCGAACACTCGAGCGCTCGGGCATTCGAGATGTCGAGGCCTCGAGGTCGCTCGAGGCCTCGAGGGCGCTCGAGGCCACGAGGGCATCCGAGGTCACGAGAGATCGAGGATCCGAGCATCGAGACCTCGAGGGTTCGAGGATCCTCGAGGATCGAGGATCCTCGCCCCTCCGCGGTGATTGCCGCCGAGAGGGTGATGGGGGGCCGCGCTTCGGCGCGAAGCGCGAGGGCCCGACAGGAGACGAGGGGGAGGAGGAGGAGGAGGAGGAGGAGGAGGAGGAGGAGGAGGACGTGCAACAGCAGCCGCAGCAGCAGCAAGTTGGAGAAGTGATCAGAAGGGTGGGAGAGACGGAGGGGCGGGGAAGAGGAGGAGGAGGAGGACCAGTTGAAACCCGAAACTCATCAGCGATGTTGAAATAAACCCTCCCTCCAAGCTCCCTTTTCACAGGCCACTGCAAGGATTCATTTCAATTCAGGGAAGTGCCCCATTGGGACACAACCGTTTGAAGATCCTGAATCGCGCCAAAGCACCATTCTCGGGACTCCAGCGCCAAGGATAAATTTGACCGTTGCGTTTTGACGATCATGAATCGTACCAGACCAGACCACCATTCCTGGGATTTCAACACCGCGAATCATCGTAACTGTTGCGCCCTGTCACTTTCTGAATTTTTTCCAAACACCATTTCTGGAACGTTCACCATGGGAACATGGGAAGCCCTTGCAGATGTTTAAAGCGAGTAGGGATTTGGCGAGAGCCACATTTTGAAAACGACCCGCCGTCAATCCGTGAAACTCACGCATGTTTGAAAGACGAATGTGCGCGGCGCTCAGGCGAGAGCCACATTTTGGAAGCGGCACGCCCTCCATCTGTGAAACTGCTGCCAGCTTTTAAGCGTCAGGAGCATACATGGTCAGGAAGTCTCCGGCGCCCTTCCGACTGGCCTCGTGGTGCGAAAGGGAGGAGTTGCTTATAAGGGACAGGAATGGAGGAGGAGGAGGAGGAGGAAGGGAGGAGGACGACGACGACGAAGGCTCGGGCTACCACCAGCGAGCACGCCTACAGATCGGAGATAGCAGGATGAGGAGACAAAGAAAGGCCAGGATGACCAGGTGGACCTGGACGACGAGGCGGACCAGGATGGCGAGGGAGCTGCGGGCCGCGCACGGTGCAGCGAAACACGTGTGGGGGGGCTCGCTTCCACTGGTGATCGTTTTCTTTTTCATTGTTTTGCCGATCGGCGCGGGCCCTCGCACCCCTTCCCCCCCCCATGGAGTAGATCTCAGCTGTTGTTGGCGCCTGTTTCAAGCAGGTGAAAGAAGCACCAGGGCCCTGCCTCCCCACAGGATTCCCCATGGGAGCACTGTTCCAAACAGTCGCAGTAAGCAGAGGTCCGGAGCCAGAACCCCCCCCCCCTCGCCCCCCCCGCTGCCCAACGCCGAAACGCCGAATAAGAAACGTTCACCTTCCACTGTTGCGCTGTGCTGTCAGCAGGGGGGGCGCTCGGCAGAACCCATTTCTCGGCAGCGTGGGCTGCGGCCAGGAGGGAGTCGAGGTTCAATCCTTCGCTCCGCGCGGGCGGGCTGCGCGCCTCGAGGTCGGTGAGGGCAAGGAGTGCGCTCGCAGGGCCCGGCTCTGGAGCGGCCCTTGCGCATCGCCTCGCGATGGCTGCACGGCCGACCTCCCGTGGGCAACGAGATCCAGAGCATCCGGCAGCTTCTTGTCCAGCGATCGATGCGTGGCAGCCCGTCGGCGCGCTCCACCACCCAAGCGGCCTCTGCCATCGCGCCCATCACGCGCCACGGCAGCGCTCATTACACGGTCGACTACACTCGCTTTCACTGGTCCTCAAGTCTTCATATTTCGCCCTTCGCGGCCACCCGCTGCTTCGCGGACATCGCAACTCTTGTGCGGTGCTCCTCGGAAATGCGTTGGGAGCGGTTGTCATCCTCGGCCGGAGTCGGCACTTCCCTTCGGGATACAGCCCTGGCACAGTGGACGCCAGACCGCTGCTCTAGGGCAATCGCCGCTACCCTCATCGGGCCGAATCGGCGGCCCGCCCGCAGTCAACGGAAGAAAAAACACCCCGAACCCCATACCTGGCGTCGACCAGACAGTCAAGTCTTTGAGTGTGGCCTGCCAGTGTAGCCTCGTGCGCTGTGAGCCGGTTCCCTTTCCACTCTCCATTGCTTCCCTTGCCTTGTCCACTTGCGCCGTAGGTCGACAGCACCGTGGGTGCATCTTATATCTTCCCGTTGCGGCGTGTCGTTCTCTCCCTCTGTCACTCAGGAGGAGAAAAAAAAACACACAGACACAATTAATCGTCTATTCCCCGGAAAAGATGGGAAAATATGGGCAGTGGGGGAGAAGACAGAAATCCAGAAAATGTTGGAAAATACGGGGAATCCTTTTATTTGTGTGTATTTATTTGTGTGCCCCAGGGCCCTTTCAGTCGTTCTCTCCATCTGTCTCTCCCTCCCTTTCTCTATCTCTCTCTCTCTCTCTCTGTCTTGCGTTGTTCAAAGAGCTTGCGCCCTTCCGCCGACCCCGAGGGGAGGGATGAAGTCCACGGGCGGTGCCTCGGGGGGCCTCCTGGAGACCCCCTGGGGGCCTCTTGGGAGGCCTCCTTCGATCCTCTTGAGGGGGTTTCTGGGGCGCCCGCTGGCGGTCTCGGGGGCCCTCTTGGGGCGGATCGGGGGTGGGCAGACCTCCTACCCTGACACGTCGATTAGTGAATTGTCCGTTTTCGGATCTCGAGAGGGCGCCGCGGCCGTCATGTTCCAGGCTTGCGCCCGCCAGGTTTGGGCCCGAGGTCGTTTTCACTAAACCACGTTTTACTAAAGGGGGGTCTGTTCATCCCCGAGCGGAGGGCTTCGAATGCCAGTTCGAGCTACCTCTATTGGGTTCTTCGTGGGGCCCTGCTGGGGCTCTCTTGGGACATCGTGGGCGCCTCCTGGGCCGTCTTGGGACCGCTTTGGGGCCCCCTTGGGGGATTACTGAGCCGTCTTGGAGCGACTTTGGGGGCCTCTTGAGCCGTCTTGGACGCTGTTAAGATAAAAAAATTGCGAACGTGCTCCAACTGCGCGTCTTCCTGGAGGGATGTGGGCGACTCCTGCTTCTGGGGGCCCCCTCGGGGCTCGTCTCGGAGCCCTCTCGGGACGTCTTGGAGGCCTCGTGGGCAGTCTTGGGGCCTCCTGGGTCGTCTGTGAGGACTCCTCGGCGCGCCGGCGCCCAGCTCGAGCCAGCTCGGATGGCATGTGTCGGCATCCTGGAAACCACGTAGTCCTCCCCCTCCTCCTCCTCCTCCTCCTCCTCCTCCTCCTCCTCCTCCTCCTCCTCCTCCTCCTCCTCCTCCTCCTCCTCCTCCTCCTCCTCCTCCTCCTCCTCCTGGGGATGTGGAGGCGTCTGAGGCCCCCAGGTTCTTTGGCGAGCTCGTCCCCCCGCCCCCACTTCTCACCCCCACCTCCCCCGCCCCCCCACCCTCCGAATCGGACTTCAGGCTGCTTGGGCCGCAGGGGATTCCCGCGCAGCACCCTGTCCCCATCCTCCCCCATCCTCCCCTCATTCCCTGCCGTCTTGGGCGTCATCTGGGGGCTGTGGGGTGACGGGAGGGAGGATGTTGCTGTGCCGAGCTCTCGACTCGTTTGTACTTTAAAGCTCCTTCCTGCCTCTGTCGAGGAAGCGATGGACATGTTTTCGGGGCTCGGATCCCTGAGCTTCTCGTGGCCCCCTTCAGGGGCCAACCCCGACCGCCGAAGCCCGAGGGGCTCGGCGCTCGCCCAGCAGCAGGCCCGTTCCGTTGGCCCTCCTTCGTGGACTGCCGATCCGATCCGATGCTCCTCCTCGGACCGACGAGTCTCATGGGCACTTCGGCGGCAAGAGCGCGTGGCCACGGAAGGTTAAGAGGCCCATCGAAAGCGGCCAGCCTATCTCTGCAAGCTGTGGTGAGAGTGCTCACGGGTAAAAAAACCGCATCGGCGGTGACCGAGCAGCCCCGGGGCGTCTATGGAACAGTTCCGCCTTGTTCGAGTTCTTCCCCGGGCGCCTTTACGAAAGGGCTTCGCTTGAGAAGCGCTCGTTGCGAGGCTGCTCCTGCTGCTTGCCTCCTCCTGGGAGAACGCTCAGATCTGGCCTCCGTTGGTGCCTCAGGGCGCCAGCGGGCCCGGCTGCTCCCCGGTGGCCAGCGGTCGACCCCGCGGGCACCTCTCCGGGAGGCGATGCGGAAGTCTCGTTGGCTGTGCCGCCGAGGCCGCCGAGGGGCCCCCGCGCTGTCCTCAGACCGGCCCCCGTGGGGCGCGAGGGCACCCGAGGAGAGCGAGCTCCGGCCGACGGGGCCCGAGCAGACGGGGTCGCAGGGTCGCGCCGCGTCGCCCGTGCACTGCTGCTCTGAGGCTCGATGCGGAGCCCGACTTCTCCGTGCCGACGTCGCCGATGCATCGCCGATGCATCGCCGATGCATCGCCGACGCATCCCACGGACCTCGGGGGGCAGGTCCTCCTTCTCCTCCTCATCATCCTCCTCCTTCTCGTCCTCCTCCTCCTCCTCCTCCTACTCCTCCTCCTCCTCCTCCTCCTCCTCCTCATCATCATCATCATCATCATCATCTCATCATCATCATCATCATCATCATCATCATCATCATCATCATCATTCATCATCATCATCATCATCATCATCATCATCTCATCATCATCATCATCCTCATCATCATCATCATCATCTTCCTTTTCCTCCTCCTCCTCCTCCTCCTCCTCCTCCGCCTCCTCCTCCGCCCCTCCCCAGAGGGCGCTGCTGCGTCGCGTCGACGCTCGGCCATGCAGATTCCTCCTCCTGGCGTGCCTCCCGCGCTGTGGCCTCCTCCTCCTCCTCCTCCTCCTCCTCCTCCTCCTCCTCCTCCTCCTCCTCCTCCTCCTCCTCCTCCGCCTCCGCCTCCGCCTCCGCCTCCGCCTCCGCCTCCTCCTCATCCTCCTCACACATCTGCTCCGCCAGTTTCCTCCGCGCCTTCCGCGGGAAGCCGGCCTCCGATCCATGTCCTCTCCCGTTCCACTGCGTATCTGGAGTGCCCCGCCCCATTTCTCCGAGGCTGCCCCCCGCGTCCGAGTCGCCCACTCTGAGAGACCTGTTGCTTGTGGCTCACCCCAACCTCTTGCTCCCCCGCTGCCAATTACCTGCCTGCGCATGTGTTCTTATTCCCCGTTAGGTCTGGGACAATTCGAGAGAGGAGGAGCAGGAAGAGGAGCAGCAGCAGCAGCAGCAGCAGCAGCAGCAGGGAGGACGGACCACGTATGGCGCATGGTTGTAGCTGCACTCCATGTACGCAGATGCTGATGAGGAGAAGCCCGCAGGCTAGTCCCAGAGCGAAGGTTGCTTTTCCGCCCCCTCTTCCTTCCTCCTCCCCCCTCCCTCGTCCATCATCCCCTCGTCGCGACCACCGCTATTCAGCCAGCCTGCAACATCCCCACCGGAAGGCGGCCATGGAAGAGCTCGCCGATACCTCCTTGGCGCACTGCGACTCGTGCACCTTCTTCGTGAGTGGAGCTCGACGGGCACGTCGCCCACCGGAAGCTCCGGGCACGAGCAAGTGAAACCAGCACGGGAAGTGGCAGGAAAAGAAGAAATATCAGCTGGCCGCGAAGGCCTCAATCGAAGGTTGCATTCAATGAAGCCCTGAGACGCACTTTGATTCAGTGAACAGTCGGTCACCGTGGCTGCAAATCCGTCACAATATGTGTTGCTCATGTGCGTATCGCTTTGCTTGAATCGGTATCGCAGCCTGCAGGGAAAGGGAGCAAGGTCAGAGAGATCAGGGCAGGGCTTCTGTAACACAATGCTATGTGTTGACGAGCCGCGCTACCACGCTACGACATGCGAGAATCATATGCTTCACAAGCGGGCACGGCACGATTGGCGTCATCATATCCCGTTCCGGTTTATAAGGTATGAGGTGTTCCGCAAGTTGATTAGTTCTCAAGTGCGAGCCGCACGTCGTAAGGAAGCTATGTGTTGCTGATTGGGTGCCGCGGCAAAAAACAAAGCCCGTCCGCCAGTATCCGAACGAAACGTTACGCATGTTGCCACGAGCTGTTGAAACAGCGTTCGGTTGGATAGCATGGAATACGTTTACTAAGCTGTCGGCGGCAACAGATACCGCGCCAGCAGTGTAGAGCAACGTTTTCGTCAGGTGAATTTCTGGTAATTCTAGCAGTGCTCTGCCAAAGGAACGTAGTGGCAATGACGTTTTACAACTTTTTCGGGCACGTCATCGTTAGGAATTGACACTGCATTACGCGAGCATGCGGATGCAGACAAGGCGTATGCGTAGAAGTTTCATCAAAATACGGGTCGCTATAAAAGGAGGCCGACATGTCATGTGTAAGACGCTTGGGTCTAGGGCAGGCGTGGGGAAGTCTATACGACCCCAGAGGAATTCAAAAGGAACCGAAGCGGCCATCTTGCAAAGTGCGGTGACAGGATCGGTCGGGGGATAGGGCACAGGAATCCGCGGGAACCAACAGGAGAACAGTGGGCGATTGGGGCAAACTCGCCGAGAATACCCAAGGGGGAGGAGGGACGCAAAATCCACAGGAAACCATAGGATCCCAGTAGCTCTTGGACAAAGTATGTAAGCCAAGTCGAAGTGTTTGGACATGAGTGAGAGTTCTACGCGTGCCCAGGACCATGCAATATGTAAGCCCGACTGGGGAGGTTTGGAAAGGGCCGTGGGTGTCAGAGGATGGGGACATGGAATCCCATGATTGGGGGATGGCATCTGAAGGTGCCGAGGGAATCCGAGGACGAACAACGGAACCTGCGAAATGAATCGAGACCCTGATTCTCGCACGAGGGAGCGATGAGAGGCAAGAGCGGGAGGAGGGCGAGTGGGAGAGGGGGTCTGTGGGAGCCACCCTCAGGCGTTCTTAGGGCCCCCCTTTTTTTGTTCTGCAGGCTTCTGGAGGTCGTCTCTCTGAGCCCCTTCAGGCCTGCTGGGGGGCCAGGTTGGCGAGCCTGGGGTGCGTCCGAAGCGCTTTTGGGGGGAGTCTTGGGCCGTCGTGGAGCTGTCCTGGGGCTGGCTCAATGGCCTTCGTGGCCCATCCTGGTGATCTTTTTCTTATTCATTGGTTCGCCGATCGGCGCGGGTCCTCGCACCCCCCCCCTCCCCCCCCCCATGAAGTAAATCTCGGCTGTTTTTGGCGCGTGTTTCAAGCAGGTGGAGCCTCCCCCATGGGACACACGGTTACAAACAGTCGCACTAAGCAGAGGTTAGGAACCAGACCCCCGCCCTCCCGTAAGGATGGTATCTTTGTGTAGGTGGCTTGTGTGTAAGGGTCAGATTTAAGATTAACATGATCATCATCAGCATCATCATCCAGCATCAAATCGTCTTCATGTTCCTCCGCACCTCCCCTCTCCCCCGCGCAATCAAAACAATAACACATCTGCACAATCAACAGCAATAAGAAATCCATACAAAGCAAACCAAGAAGATATCCACACAATCAAGAACAATCAGGAATCCATGCAATCAAAAACAATAAGAAATACATACAGTCAAAAGCAATTAGAAGCCCATACAATCAAAAACAGTGAGAAAGCCATACAATCAAAAACAATCAGAAATCCATGCAATGAAAAATAATCAGCAATCCATCAAGTCAAAAACAATCAGAAATCCACACTATCACAAACAAAAAGAAATACATACAGTCAAGAACAAGAAGAACTCCAGACAATCAAATCAATCAGAAAACGTCTTGGGTCCACGAACCCTGTTAGGGTTCAACAAAAAAACTGTAAGGGCTCCAAAAAAGTCTTATGTTTTTTCGGGACGTCGGACTTCATCCGGGCCCCTCCAGGCCAGATCCGCCCAGGCAGCTTGAAGTTCCGAAAACCAGTGATTATCAGTTGTTTGGGAACTCTCACAGGTTTTATTGTTTTTGTTGGGGGGGTATGTTTTTAAGGAACCCTCTCAGGGTGGAAATCTTTGGTTGGTTTGGAATTCTATCAGGTTTTATTAATTTCATATTAGATTTTATGCGTTATCCAACTAGGCTTGCCCTATAGGAGTCCTGGCCCATCATAAGTAATTAGTATTTAGCACCCCCCTTTTCCAATGGCACCCCCCCCCCTTTCTCCAAGGGCACCCCCTTGTTCCAATGGCACTTGCTTGCTCGCTCTTGCGCGCTTGCTCTCGCTTGCTTGCTCTTGCTTGCACTTGATTGCACTCGATCGCTGGCTCGTGCTTGCTTGTTATTGCTCGCTTGCGCTTGCTTGCGCTTGCTTGATTTTGCTCCTCCCATCCTCCTCCCGTCCTCCTTTCGTCCTCCTCCCATCCTCCTCTCGTCCTCCTCCGGTCCTCCTATCTATTTTGAGTCAACGCGGGCTGATATGTTTCAATAACAGTCACAGGTTTCCTTGCCTTAGAGCTACGAACCCTGTGAGGGTTTCAAGAAAACGCACACACACAAAAAAAAACAATAAAAACTGCAAGGGTTCCAAAAAAACAAAATGGTGTTCGAGACTTCAGGCTGCCTGGGCGGATCTGGCCTGGAGGGGCCCGGCGGAAGCCCGAAGCCCTGAAAACTATTGATTTCTAGTTCTTTGGGAACCCTCACAGGGTTCGTGGACCCAAGACGTTTTCTGATTGTTTCTGATTGCATGGATTTCTTAGTGTTTCTGACTGTATGCATCTTTTTTTTGATTGTATGGATTTCTGATTGCATTCGAATGTATGGATTGCTTGTTGTTTTCCATTGCATGGATTTCTGATTGTTTTTGATTGCATGGATTTCTAATGGTTTCTGAGTGTATGGAGTTCTTATTGTTTTTGATTGTGTGGTTGTCTTATTGGTTTGATTGCATGGGTTTCTGAGTGTGCGTGTTTCTACATATGATGTTGATTGTGGTGATGCTGAGGAGGGATGAGGATGACGACAATGAGGAGGGGGAGGAGGGGGGTGCGGATGTTGATGGTGATGTTGATGCTGAGGATGCAGGAGGGGAGAGAGAGAAAGGGAGAAAGAAAACAAGAAACACACACACACACACACACAAAAACCACCTACACAAAGTTACCACCCCCACCCTACCCACCTCCCCTTGCGCCCAATGTCGAAACGCCGAATAAGAAAACGTTCACCTGGGGGCCTTCCGGGCCGTCGCCCTGAAGTCCAAAGAGAAGCCGTCGACGGCTTTGAGATTGCTTCCGCCCGCTCCGAAGCAGCCCGCAGTCCGCCCACGAGACACTTCAGATGGCTTCTCGAGACTTCCCATGGACCCCAAGAGGCCGTAGGAGGGCTTCGCGAGGTTCCGAGTGAGGTTCTAAAGTTCCAAGAGGGACCTCAGATTGTCAAAATTGTCAATCCTGAGGGCTCCGAGGGTGCTTATCAGGTCCCACAACGTTAGAAGAAGCGCACGAGAAACACCCAGAGAGCCCCGATGAATTTGCACGTACGGAAGAACATATGACAGGATGGGTGGGAGCGTGATTGATTGGATGACACGTCGATTTATGTCTGATGGAGGAGGTTGGCACATTCTTTTCCAACCTTCCTTTATTTCCCCTACAACTACTCAGCAACTACAAAATATGATTTCTACTCTCCTCTCTTCCGTGATATTTCCCCATGGCCCATAGTTGTCCCGCCTCCGCCGTGTATGGTTTTTCACACCGGATTTCACGTTGAAGCATTTTCTACGGAGTTCCGCGGTCCAAGAGTTTTGTGTGTTTCAGCGTGGACCTCAAGCAGTGCGCTCTAGCAGAATATGTGGTGCAATAAATGTGATGGAACCCACGTGGCACACTGTATGTTGTGTAAGCTATGATGTGAGTTTTATGCTATGTAACCAATAGATGTGGTGCAAATTATGTGGTTACATCTATGTTGTGCCGTACATGTTTACAAATGAACTGACACATGCCATGCCCTTGCAAACATCCCACCCACCCACCCGCAACTGGGTTTGCAAAACCCATACGGCGGCGATTGCGATGAGTGCTTGCCTCTCGCTGGTGCATCTCTACGGCCGCGCTAGCCCGCGCATGCTCGCGAGCACAGCGGCCAGCTAGTTTGGCGCGACCGACGCGGCCGCGGCGGCGCTGACCGTTGGGCATTTCACAGCGGGCGCTTCAGGGCGAGTCGATGATTTGGGCGGGCGCAGTATCATGGCGACGCCGACAGCGGTAGACACGGTTGTGCGAGTAGCGGTGATGGTGACGACGACGACGGCAAGGCCAATGACGGTGCCAATGTTGATCACGCCCGGCGATTAGGATGACGATGTCTTCGCGTCGACGATGATGGAGTTCGACATGCGCGCGCGGCCGTCGCGCGCGAGTGGCCCGCGTGGTATTATTTGACACGGACTGCGCCCCCCCACCACCACCACAGCCAGCACGCGCGCCAGGGGGGTCCAAAGAGTTCGAATTGCGGCGCGAGTGGCCTGTTTGCCAGAAGTTGGCGAAGGACCCAACCATATGCAGTTGTGAATACCGCAAGTGTGGATATTTTCTTCGGTGGCGCTCCCTATGGGGCCACGAAACGCTGTCCTGGGCGGGGGGGACGCATGCGAACACCCCCACGGGGGCCTTCGGTGGAGCTCTCCATGGGGCCACGAAACGCTGTCTTGGGGGGGAGGGGCGCATGCGAACACCCCGACGGGGGCCTTCGGTGGAGCTCCCTATGTGGCCACGAAACGCTGCCCTGGGTGGGGGGGACGCATGCGAACACCCCCACGGGAGCCTACGGTGGAGCTCCCCATGGAGCCACGAAACGGCGTCTTGGGTGGAGGGGACGCATGCGAACACCTTCGCGGGGGCCTCGGTGGAGCTTCTTATGGGGCCACGACACGTTGTCGTGGGTGGGGGGGGGCGCATGCGAACACACCCACGGGGGCCATCGGTGGAGCTCCCTATGGGGTCACGAAACGCTGTCTTGGGTGGGGGGACGCATGCGAACACCCACGGGGGCCTTCGGTGGAGCTCTCCATGGGGCCACGAAACGCTGTCTTGGGCGGGGGGGGGCGCATGCGAACACCCCGACGGTGGCCTTCGGTGGAGCTCCCT